CTACGGGTTACGACAGAGAGGATAACAACCTAATGTTCGATATTTTGCTTCAAGTGTCGAGTCTTTCTGATACTAACTTTTTAATCAAAAGCGGAAGCTGCCCATTAGAAGGATCTATTAGATACCGTTCTATGGTATCTGAAGATCTGGCTCTAAAGGTAACATACTTTTTTTGCAATTTTTAAGTCATATAAGCATAGGGTACTAATACAAAGACAATACCTGATGCACCAATTCTTTCAATATGTGGTTTATAGGTTGCGAAAAGCCTCAGCTTTCCCCTATCCAAGTACTTGTACAGAAGATAAATGCGAAATTCAAATGTTTTGGGAGGAAGAAACTAACGGTACACTCGTGATTGCGCTCTTGTTGTATTGTAGAATTTAGCATGATTTTCGGGTAGTTTTGAGAAGCAATTTTCCCAGACAATTTTGTTGTGGTCTGTGTAAACGATCGTTTATTGTGTATAAAAAACTAAACTATGGTATGTTTCATGTTCTATTCGTTATGAAGCCAGTCTTGAATCTAGTTTAGTAGTTTGTTTCATTTCTTTTGAAACCTGAATATGACATGGAAACTTCTTTGTATCATTCGAATTGGCTTAACTAAACCGACTTAGTTTTTGTTCCCATCTTCTTCATTGTCGACTTTAAGTATTTTTGTTCCCTTCTTAAAAAAATTTGTAATTTTGTTTGATGAATACATGGTTTATGTTTAGTTTGAAAGCTGTTATTATATATTATTATAACAGATAGTTTCTACACCTTAAAAAATGATCTCCAAGATTCAAGATTTTTGTAATATAAAAATGAAAAATATAAAATATCATGTATTTTGCCACGTAATCCACCTTACACCCTCTATAAAATCCATTGTCGTTGTACTTCTAAAACCCTACACCAAAACATTTTCACACTTTAAAATTTCTTCCTCTTTTTGGTAATAACAAAACAAAAGGCTTTACTTCTTCTCCACACTTCTAGAATTTTCCTAGCAAACGTACCAGAAAGAAACAGAAACAATATATATATATATAAGCAAAAGGGTCTGAGAATTGGAGTGAAAAAGAAGCAAAAATGTTTTTACAAATTGTGTATCAGGAGGAGAAGACAGAGCTTGGTAGGCAACAAGCACCGGGGAAGTGTCCGTATTGCGGCGGAAAAGTATCGGCGGTCGATATCGAAACGAAATGGTTGTTCTGTTTCTTACCACTCTGTATCAAGGTCAAACGCAAGTACTCTTGTTCTTCATGTGATCGTCGTCTAGTCTTGTACTATTGAAAC